AAAAAATTCATGTGTAAAATTTTTTTTTTACGTATTAACCCGGTCTGTGATCCGGTCCTGGATCCGTCCTTGCAAAACATAGAAAGTTTTTACAATTTTGTTGAAAATCAATTTCAATGTAAGATTAAAGGAATAAGATCTAATCAAGGAAAAGAATTTCAAATAACAAAATTCTTTGTTTCAAAAGGGGTAGTTCACCAACAAAGTTACATCAATACCCCTCAACAAAACTCCATTGTTGAGAGAAAACACTTACACTTGCTAAATGTAGCAAGAACTCTTAGATTTCAAGCCAATTTGCCTTTAAAATTATGGGGAGAATGTGTTGTCACAGCAGCATATTTAATAAATAGAATCCCTTCTCCAAATCTACAAAACCAATACCCTTACCAAATTATTTTTTTCCAAAATTCCTTTGTACACTCACCTAAAAACTTTAGGATGTCTATGCTATGCATCAAATCTCAATCCCACCATTCCAAGTTTGATCCAAGAGCACGTAACCATATTTGACATTGTTATATAATATTGTGACCATTATATATTTAATTAATAAAATTTTTAAATTATTTATTTAATAAATAAAATTTAAATTAATATCTGTTTTTTGAAAAAAGTAAACCTTATTTCTTAGATTTGAAATAGGTCATTTATTAAACGCCCGTTTGAGTCCCATTTTTTTTTTATGTAAAATACATGTTAGAATAATAGATTGATAGAGAATGTGTGGTTAAAAAATAAGAAAAAATTTTGAATTTTCATGTAATATTATTTTATTGACAAATGTGTTGTTAAAAAAAAAAGAAAGAAAAATATATTTTAGAAAAAATAGGGATCAAACAAGGGCAAATGAAATTTTCTCATGATTTTTTTCCCCTTAAAAACAGATTACGGATAAGAAAAATGGATGGGCTTCCTGATCTTGATGCTACTGATGAACCCAGCTAAGCCCATAGCCCATTTAATAGCAATCCCTCACAAAACCCTCTGCTATTAAATAGTGCAGAATTACACGCAACCGTGCCTATACCAAAACCTACCCTGTATATTTGCCTCCGCTTCGAAGATGCAGATCTTCGTGAAAACCCTAACGGGGAAAACCATAACCCTGGAGGTGGAGTCCTCCGATACGATCGACAACGTCAAAGCCAAGATCCAGGACAAGGAGGGCATCCCGCCGGACCAGCAACGCCTTATCTTCGCCGGGAAGCAGCTAGAGGACGGACGTACCCTCGCCGATTACAACATCCTGAAGGAGTCCACCCTACATCTCGTACTCCGTCTCCGTGGCGGGGCCAAGAAGCGCAAGAAGAAGACATACACCAAGCCAAAGAAGATCAAGCACAAGCATAAGAAGGTCAAGCTCGCTGTCCTCCAGTTCTACAAGGTCGACGACTCCGGAAAGGTCCAGAGGCTGCGCAAGGAGTGTCCCAACGCTGAGTGCGGGGCTGGAACTTTCATGGCCAATCATTTTGACAGGCACTATTGTGGTAAGTGTGGGCTTACCTATGTCTACAATAAGGCTGGTGATGATTGAGAAACGGAGTTATCTGAGTGAGAATTCTAGTTTTCTATTGTTTTTATTCTGTCTTAATCGCTATTTGGACGATTATTATGTTGGGTCTATCATATGAATTTTGCTTGTATGTTTAAGACATTGAGTGTCTTTTAATTTAGTTTACAGTTAAAGGTGTTAATGGATAATTGCTATTACTTTGATCAGTATCCTTCTCGTTTATTTTTGTATCCATGACGCAGTTAATAACATTGTTCGTCAATTAGGAAATGATTGGGATATTTTTTGGTTAAAAAGGCAAAGATGTATTCTCAAAGTTTGTTCTTATTCTCCTCCTATTATTAAACAAAAACATTCTCTTAAATCGACTGCATGATTGAACCATATTGGGAGATGCTGTTGGCCTATAGTCTTTCCCATTTTCATGTTGCCCCTTGACACTACTAATTTAAATGCTCTATTCTTCTGGCCTTCAGTTGAAATTTGGAACTGTTTTAGACTCACTTGGTTATTAAAGCGTTGCCTTCTGACGTCCATGCAATGTCAAGTCCCAAGGGGTTAGGCACAGCTACTCGAGCATTTGATTAAAACACTGCATTAGAGTAATTGTACATATTGAACCCCTTGAATTTATCGGGCTATGCTGATGTTGTGAGTCTACACCCAATACCCAAAAAGGCTTATAGCTCGAAATATGAGTGAATCTCATTTCACGTTGTTGTCGATTTCCCACATATTGACCAACATGGTAGCTAAATAATTTTTATTATTACAAGTCAGGAAATGAGCAGATAGGATAAGCACCGGCTGACATGAAATGACAATAAAATTTAACTTGTATTGTCCAAGGATATGTTAGTGATGGACAATAGCACGGCTTAGAGGAACTAAACCTTGAATGTAATAATAAAGAGCCAAACTCTTACGCATGCTTCTTCTCCATCGGAGCCCTGCCATAAAAGAGAGGTTAGCAAGAAAGCTTACCTTAATCTTTCTGCACTCAATTTTTGGTCGGTCTTATGCTTCATTTCAAAATAAGTGGACGAACTTCCATATTGTTCATGTATAATTGGATGTTTTGCATGTCGAAAAAGGACGAATTCAACATCTAATATATGTTTTAAATGGAATAAACTAATTCAACCTCACGAATGAATGGGGAAACATTCTTGAGAATAATGCTTGCTTTCCTTTCACTAGCAGAACATATAGTCCATAGCATGGAATGTGAACCAAAGCCAACGCTAGATACCTGAAAGCAGATGATGTCCAATAGATGTTCTGTACAGTTAAGGCACGTGTAATTGGAGTCTGGGAGATGAGAAGCAAAATAATTACCATAGTGGTGCCCATGGAGTAGAAAGTTCAAGGAATGGATATGGCCACCTGCATCAAGACCCATATGTCATTCGACCATTTTTCAGTTTGTAAAGGAAGATGATCAGCTACAAAACTTTTCCACCAAAAACGGATCAAATATTGAAGTAGAGGTGACAGTTTGAAGTACAAATGTAAAGTTCTTTTAAAATCAAATCAGAGAACTAATGAAAAGTTTTCGTCTCCTGTACCATGTGAAGCAACATGCGTGAAGAACCCACTGAAAAACAACATAAGCAACGCTCCAAAGCACAAAATAGACAAGCCCAAACCAAGGAAATGGCTGAAACGTAAATTCATCCATTAGATTAGCTGAAGAAAAAAGCAAGCAGAATAAAACTTCTACAGTAGCATGAAGAGATGAACATTGACGGTCTTTATACTTACCATGTTATTGACAGCAGAATCAAGGATAAGTAAAAGAGCATTTACAGAATGCATGCATCCAATCAGCTATCATATTAACAAAAGTGAAAAGTTAGAAAAGCAGGAAAAGATTTGTTAGTGATCTGCAAATTTAGTTCATAGCATATTTCGTCTAACAAAGGATCCATGAGAAGAATTCTGGCTTTGAAATTAAGTACTGTGTAACAGGTGAAATCACCTTTTGCCCCAGATCAGAAGGTCATATAACTTACCAGGGTAAGTTGAAAATTTTCACCCGTCATGAATGGGAGCAGGAGGCCCCAAAAGACAATGTCAGTAAGCATAACAGCGCCTCCACAAGTCTGTTTAATAATAAAGTTTTGGCATCAGGTAGTGTTTTAACAGCAAAAACATTAAGACTGTGAACAAAAAAAATTAGAATGTTCTTGAGTTTATAGCTTTGTATAGAAAGCAGCAACCCAGCTTTAATGTCATTCACAGCTAAATTTTTAAGAAGAATAAATAATAACCCACTTATCCATATAGAAGTCATTGCTTGAACTAATAAAACTGAAGTTGAGCCCTCGTCTCAGGTACCCTCTTCAATCAAGTCATACTGAAATGATATCCACACCCGTACAATGAAGTACTTAGAAATGTCATCAGAGGCAAATGGACATGCTATGCTTAACCATATTTCTTTTCGCTTTTAATCCATTCCAAATTCCTTAGTGCTGATCATATTCAAATTTGAAGTGCACAATTTAATGATGGAGGGGACCTCAAAGTGGAAGAACAAATAGTTGGGCTTTTAAATAGCCTTCCTAGAAACCAAGTTCTCTTATTATACATTTTAAATTCCCCCAATTTATTGGTTATAAATTAGATTATCCATCTATTATTTTCTTTCAGTTAATCAAACCAAACAGATGAAGCAGGACAAATGCATATTATTTCCTATCAGTACAAAGCTTCAACACTTCAATGGAATTCGGACAGAGTAACCTGATAAATCATGTGCATAAGGTGTTCCCAAAATCCAGCACGTTGTTCATGCTTGGCCTGTTTCTCTTTGGAAATTGAAGTCATTGCATGTTTCCTATCTTCCGACTCCTTTTTGAGAAATTTATCCCTTTCCCCACTCTCAGAGAGGGGTCTTCTTGAGTAAATCCAACATCCATGGGCAGATACAGCAGTACCAATCTGCATGTACAAGTTACAATTGAAACGTAGCAATATCCTAAATAAAATGTCAACTGAATATAATCTTATTTAGCGGATGATATGAAGAGTGCTAGCACGAGTCTTGGAAAGGGAGGAAATACAATGTTGTACATACAGCAAAGTAGACCATAACCAATGCAAAAGTCCACCTGGAAAGCAGTAGTAGTACACACAATTAGAAGCTATAAGTGAATGGTACTCAGGAAACAACAAAATAATTCAATGTGATAGGAGTATTGTAATAACGACAAAGGGACAAAAATGATAGAAATCCTTCACACTAAGACAGGAAATTAACAACCAATAAATCTAGTAAGCGGGATCAAGAAGTTAAAATATTCAAAACAAGCTTACAAAATGTAAATGACTAATTGGAGTTTAGGAAAAGAAACTATAAGCAAATGGTGCATAATTATTTAATCCAGTGCATATCATTTGGGTTAATTAATGATCAACATTCGTCGGTATAGCTAAAGGTTGTCAAGAGAACTATCATGTCAATTGTCAAATTAAGGCTAAGAATTGTCAAATCAATCACACCAGAATAATAATGCAAGATATCTGTAAATTCTGAAAGTCCAGACTAAAAGTATGTTTGAACTTGAGGTCCATTTGATTGCAAGAATGGAAAATTGGTGAAAAAAAAAACGAATTCCATGAAAAATAATTGCCTAAAACTTATTTTTCTAGGAATTGTCAATTAATTGTGTTTGATTGGTATAGTTTTCCACCTGAAAATTTTTGAAATTTTAAAAATCTTTTGGTATTTGTTTGGCTTGGTTTTCTGTGAAAATTGTCCATTAAATGAAAAATTTATTACAATTGAGGATATAATTTGTTACTTCTAGAAATTTATTTAAAATTGGTAAGTGTACATGTTATGTCATATATCAATCGAGTGGATTTTGTTTTAATGGGGATCATTTCAATAAAAGAAATTAGGGTTGGTCTTGAATTCATTTTCTCCAACCCTGCGGAAAAGGACTCCAGCATATACCCTGTTGTAATAAAGCAAAAGAAATTCTACAAATGCAGTAAACTGCTTCCACCTGGTCTTGCTAGAGCTCTTACAGAATTTTTCTAGTATATTTACTGATTTTTGGCATGGTGGATCCTGTGAAGAAAAGAAACAAAAAATAGAAAACTCATGTATGCAACTACAATTATAATCTCAGTTTGAATCTTTTAGTTTGCAAATCCTTACTTCCTTTTGCTACAACTAGGTTGAAACAGCACCACCTTGCTCTCTAGGCTTAGCTTGAAGGCCTAGGAGTTGGTCACAATGGAAGCAAGGTAATGTGGGTTTATTTTTGGTGGATACAAAAGTACAACAGATAATGATTGTGCCACAGGCATGAGCAGATGGCTCAACATGTGAGTGATAGTTGCACAACATGCAGAAAAGAATTGGTACATTTGAGTACAAGACATAAGTGCAAAGCTCAATGTAAATGGAGGCAACAATGTGCAACAAAAACAAAAATGGAACTTTGTTTATTGAGAATTAATCAATGGATAGTTTCCCATACTTCCTCTGTCTTGGGCATTCGTTGCCTTCAGTTGCTTGATAGTAAACCTCTTAAACGATGATGGGGAAGTGGGAGTTCTAAGTGCCAGTAAAGGGAAAAAATTGTTCTAGAATTAGCCTTCCTAAGCAAATTGTTATCAAAACCAAGTTAAGGCCAGCATGGTCCTGAAGGATTGATTAACTCGCTTGGAGGACTTTTTTGGTTCTCCATAGACTGATAATGTCATCAACTTGTGCACTTTGAGCAATAAATTGTATTGTACTCTAAACTGAGGCAAGTCTTTGTAGTTTTCGTGCCTAATACCACTAACCGATTACATCCATGTTATGTCCCCATCATATGCAACGAAGATATTTAGTGACCTCGATGGAGAGGGTGAAATTTCCTAGTAAAAGAGAGCACTTCACAGTTCTACTTAAAGTAGTGTTCTAAAAAGTGTAAAGCTTAGTTAGGTGTGAAGGTCCAGCTTCAAGCTTTACGAACCTATGCGTGAAAAAATTATTTTTTTATTTTTAATATTATTTTTAATTTTTAATCATTCTAAAAATTATTTAATAATTAAAATAATACATACCAAACATCTAAAATATTTACTCATAATTCTTACAATTAATCAATTATACAATATTCAATGGAAAAGTTTTGAAACTAAAGTCAAATAAAAGGCTTTTAAAAAAAGGAAAACAAATTAGGGCCTGTTTGGTACAGATTTTCATTTTCTACAGTAAATCAATTCTCGTTTTCAACCACACATTCTTCAATAAAATAATATTTTCCATCACATCAATAATTTTTTTTCTTTTTCAACCACACATTTCCCATCATATCACTATTCAAAAATCAATTCTTCCCCCAAAATTCCCTATATAATATTTTCCATCAAATCAATACTTTTTTCTTCTTTTTCAACCACACATTTCCCATTATATCACTATTCAAAAATCAATTCTTCCCTCAAAAATCCCTACCAAACACACACTTAATAAAGTGTCCCAAGGCACGCATTAAGCGGTCAATTTGGCATTTTGCGTGCCTTTTAGATTATGGACTATCTATTGTTTTCCTCGAAACTTGGTGTATCAAAGCCTAAGGCTTCTGATGTGCGCAATTCTCTCATCCAAGTTTGTTTTATTGAAACAAAGTTCCTTCATATAGAGTTAATAGAAGTTTCAAGTTTTTTATGTTTGTTGTCTCCCAGCTTCAGTGTAAACCTCTTATACAATTGTTGGCAGACTAACTGCATCAAAGGCAAAATCTTTTGGTAGATTTAAACCCCAACACTAGAGAGTAACTGTTCATGGTAAAGTACTGTTCTTTTATTAAGTGAAGGAAATCCCGTCTAGCCTAAGGCTGAGCAGGCTTGACTAGGAATTCATCAATTATTTGTGCAATCTAAGTCAAAGAATCTACTACCTAGATCTCAGATTAGAATTCTGCCATCTCTATCGCCGATTCGCCAGATTCTTAAAAGTTTTTATATTACAGATTAATTAAAGTAAAAGACATAAATGCGATCCAGTTCCAGTAACCAATACGACGTTGTACTGTATGTATGAGGGAAGAAAATTCCGTACTGGGTGTAGAAGAAGAAGACGAAGAATCCGAAAGCAGCAGCAATCTCATAGAGCAGAAAAGACATGGAAACAAAGGCGATTGCTCGGTAGAACAGAAGCCATTTTGGACTGAGGTTTCTCCAGCATGGGACCCACAAATCAGTGGAGTTGAGTGGGTTACTGCCGGCGCTGGTCCTCTTCTTGAGGAGGAAGACTGCAACGGCTGCCGGGAGCAAAAAGATTAGAGCACATACAAGGACTTGCCATTGGAGCCAGTAATCAAAGCCCAGAACGTTCTTTGCCTGAGAACGCTCCATTTTTGTGAGTGCGAGATTGATGCCAGCCTCAATTCAGCAATAGTTGACAAGCCAACAACCTGAGTTATAGTATAGGAAAATTGGTGCAAATGGTCTCAAACCTTTGTCATCTTCCACTTTGGTCCAAATATTTAAATATTGGCATAAATGATCCAAACTCTTTTTTATTTTTGGCATAATTAGTTCTTTTAGACCATTTTTGTCCGAAAATGTACTTACTTTCAAGGACAAAATTCATTTTACCCTAACTTTTAGCAAAAAAGTAGCATTTATGTCCTAACCAAGTCTTAAACAGCTCATGTTTGATGCACATTTTTAAGGAAATAATATATAGTTAAAAAAGAATGATTTTTTTAAATTTACGCGTAATATTATTCTATTGAAAATTGTGTTGTTGAAAATGAGTATTGAGAGAATGTAATTTTTTTTTTAAAACGTGTATTAAACATGGCCTCATTCATTTTTATTTTTACATAATAATGATTTCCAGGACATCAGGAGGTAACATTGTAGATTTCAAGTAGCCACGTCCGTATGATGTATTATTTGTGGGAGATATTACACCGATAATGTGCATATTGTATTCAAATCAATACATACTGTTTCATACTCACGAAATCGAAATAGAATTCGACTTACCAATATGGAATTTGAGAAGACAATCAACAGTTATCGAAGTTGAACACGTGTCGACGGATTCAATCTGTTTCATACTTTATTTCAAACCTTGCATGAAATCAAAAGAATATTAGTTACTTTCCGAAATCAAAATACTAAATTGGAATGAAATCGGAAAAGAAAGATGAGATGCAAGTGATGCGATCGGTCGAGGCAAGTGTTTGACACTTTGTCCTTAAGATGAATTTGCCCCGCATCGGTGCTAACGGTTTCTCGACAATCATCTCCCAAGATACAACGACCACGTCAAGCCATAGGAGCACTCCAAATGACTTAGACCCACGAACTCGAACGGAGTTCCCTCTCTACTATAACCATGATTTTGATGCAAGAGAAAATCACTTCTATAAAGTGTTTTATTCAAAACTAAAGTAACCATAATATGAAACTATCAAATGAATTGTTTGTTGTGTAGTTGTGTTGTGAATCCAAACACATAGGGAATCCATATATATAGTAGTTGGAACATCCATATCAAGAGACACATCTCTTGAATAATCATAATTATTGGAAGTTACTCATACCAAAAGTCATGCTCTTTAAGCATCTCTTGAATAATCATAAATATTGGAAGTTACTCATACCAAAAGTCATGCTCTTTAAGAGACATGATCCATATGAAAAGACACATCTTTTCATCTACATTCTCTAGAATATTCCACAATATTCTACACAATTCCAATAATTTCAAATATTAAGTGGTTTAAGTTTGGCTTAATTTCTCATTCACCAAACAAGGAATTTCCACTTAAATCATTTCAATTGGTCACAACCAATTTCCAACACAAAATTCCAACAATCCCCCACATGAATGAAAATTAATGCAAATGACTATGCAGACACTAGTAGAGAGAGGACGGAAAAAACACTGCATCAGAGAAGGTAGCTTCTGGCCTTGAACCTCCCTTAGTGAAATACTATCGGACTTACTGGCTAATTGGTGAACGTGATGTCTTGAACCATTCAGCCGTTGGTGTAAGCCAAGACAACAGTACTCACACAATGTCTTCCCTAAACCGTTCATGGTTCTCACGGTTGTGTCCATTTTGGCCATGGACCATTCTTGGTTTCATAAGTGTTTAGAGAATTTTAGCCTCGAACAATTCTCATTGAAGCGGCCCCACTTCACACTTACATAGGTGATCTCCTATTAAGAGTATTCTCTCTTACTCTACTTGACTTAATCAAGATATAGGAATCATTAAAAGCATAGCTTAACCTCACACTTTGCAAAAAGCACTGTAATTATCATAGGAATGAGTAGGAATAATTTCCTAAGTGCTTCATGGAATCTTCATAACTTAGTTGTCCCTTTGAACCAAGATCTTGGGATCTCCAGTCAACAAGGTAGGGTTACCATTACAAAGACTCTTACGTCGTAGGCTTTAATCTCATTCCCCTCGATATGCAGTATTCTTGATCTCTCGGTAAATCTCTAAAGGTACCACGAGTTTACACCATTGAGATCGACTGCTTAACGGTATTATGTCTACGTCTAGACTTACCATTACATGTGACTTAGTATCTCATCAAATGTAGCTAGCCAACAATTAATTGATTTAATAGATACAACATGTCACCACCAAGAAATCCTCTCATGAAGCTACATGCTTCTAACTAGCTTTATCTAAAATTTTATAAATTCCAAACAACAATGTTAGAGGATTTCTATCACACACTACACCAGTCAATCACTTTTACTAGTGGATTTCAAAAACAAGGGTATTCAATATCATTATTGAAATACTATAATGCATTTCAACTTTTTTTGAATATTTTCCAAATATTCTAATTGATCTTGCATATCCAAACAAACGCCGTAATTGGATTTTATCTCATTTCATCCACAGACAATTCAATTTAACTCATTGTCATCCTAGACCTTGCAGTATAAAATATTTCCCCCTTTATTTTGGAACATTTGCACTTGGAGTCTCACTTTGAAATGATTTTAAGAATTGACTCACTAGAAAAATGACATCTTATTATGCTCCTGTTTGGTGGGGTTAAAGTCAAATTTTTATTAAATTTTGATAAAAATTGATGAAATGTATAGTATAAAGGTTGTGGATCCATGAAATGTATGATTAAAAATAATTGTTGACTTAGACTTATATTAAAATCTAAATTCTAATTGTGCAAATTACACTAAATCATATTTTTCAACTTCCAATTTCAAAAATCAGGTTTAAGAATTATTTATACAAAAATCAGATCACATTTTATTTTTAAAATTGATAATAATATTATTAAATTAATTAACCTACCACCGCCATTCCACCTACCCCCAACAAACCCTAATTCATTTCACACAATCTCTTTCATTTCACAACAATCTATTATGTTCATCATCTCACACCTCCACCGACGACTAGCAATTGTGGCGCTGCCTAGTGTCGCATGAAGCAGAGTCGAAGCGGGGCGTTGATGCACAATATCGTCACGTTTCTAGTAATGTTGACGGCGCACTTCGAATTCTTTTCGTTTTCTCTTCATTTGTTGTGTGTTGTGTTGATGGTTGTGGTGTGGTGTGGTGTGGTATGGTGTGGTAGATGTGAAGAAGATGTGTTGATTTAAGAAGGTGGTGGCGGTGATTTGTGGATGCAAGCTGTGGTAATGGTGTAGTGCGGGTGGTGGTTGCGGTGTGGTGAATGTAGTGCTACAAGTGGTGATTGTAGTGCTATATGTGGTTGATTGTGGTGATCCATTGGTTTTGATTTTGATTTTGGTTGTTGTAAGTGGTGGTGGTGGCGGCTTCCATATTTTTGCGGTTGTGATGGCGATCGATGGTGATGTTAGTGGTGGTCGTGGTAGTGGATATGGTAGTTGTGGGTGTTTGTGACCAATTATTTAATCGATTGTGATCAATAAATTGGTTCATTTGTGACAAATAAATAATATGTGACCAATAAATTGAATATTTTGTGGTCAGTAAATAATATGTGATCGGTAATTTGTGACCAATAAATAATATACGATCTAAAAATTTGAAAATATGTAATCGTTAAATAAATTGTGACATTTAAAATTTGTGATTTTTTGTGACTGAAAAATAATTTTGAACAATTAATTTGATAATATGTGAAAATAAATAAGTTGTGACTTATAAGTACGTAACTATGACAATTAATTATATAATTGTGACCTTAATATATTTAATTAATAAAATATTTTTAAAAATATTTAGTTATCATCTCAGTTTTGAAAATTTAAATTTATTGTCTGAGTTTTGAATTGACTTTACTTTACATGTGACATATGAATTTTTTTCATTTTAATTTTCACAAAAAAATGGGCAATGAAAAGAGTCCAATAGTGTGTTTGATTGCATTTATTTTCCTTAGAAAATGTCAAATTTTCACATAAATTCTTATTTTGAACTATTTGATTACCATTCTTTTCCATGGAAAATATTTCCCAACTTTAAAAAATATGCTTAATTTTTCTTGTTTTAAAGGAAAATATTTTATTTTAGATAATAGGTCTTTGTTTTCCTTAAAATAAAAAAAGTATTTTCTTTTTTAGGATATATTTTTCATGTCAAATAAAAACGTTCGTAAGTCTTTGACTCTTTGTTGTTAAGAAAACCAACGGAACCCATTAGCTAAACGGGTCGGGTAAAAGACTGGGATCCAGTAACTGGTATCCACTCCCACCAGAACCCTTCTTTTTCTATTTCCATTTACCAGGCGGAGGTTGCCGGATTTTCCATTCCGTCTTGTATTTGTTCTGGGGTGGAGGTCCGGCGTTTTCCAGTAGCAGCCGAAGCAATAGATTTCTATGCTTCTTGTTTAATAAACTAAGTCAATAAATGGTAGTATTATCAGCCGCGTTATACCGAGGTGCTTCTCTCTTTCTCCGCCGCTTCCACATTCAAACCTCCCATTTTTTCACCGTAAGTTCCTCTTCTTTGCTGCTTTAATTGTATTACTACATTTCCTTTATGTAGGAAATAGACTTAGCAATTTGTTTACCAGGTTTATTTTATGTTTTCAAATGCCGGAATTTGTTTGTATTTGGTGTCACCAATTTTCTCATATTTTATTGAGTAGTACAGCTAATAGTTTATTTGGAATTTGATTCTCTCTAAGGATATACAAAAGCATCAGCAAAAGCGTCTCCATTCTGGAGATTGGATTAACAGAACAAGTTGAGTTTATCTAACTTATTCTTTTATACTTAGCAATTAGAAACACTATGAGGCCAATTTGAAGAGCAATGAATTATCACTGTCATTCTTACTAATTTGGAGTTAGGAAAACACGGAATAATAATAGCTCTTGTTTATATGCCATTGGAGTGCCTCTTGCTTTATTAAGTTG